ATCCCCAAGAATGAGAGAAGCGGCCTGTCGTGCCGCCGCAGCTTCCTCATCCTCTTCTATAATATTCTCATCAAAGACTGGCGCTGAAAGCTGCATCAAACGACGACTCCATCTCTTGTTGCCACCAAAATGCCCGCTCTCGCTGCTGCTGTAGCTGGTTACCTCGTGGTGGTGGTTGTGGTGGTGATGATGGACTGAGCTATATAATGAGGATAGTGATGAGCAGGCGATCGGTAACAAGACGGAACGAGCCGAAGGGGTAGAGAAAAGAAGAACAGCAATTACTGAGGAGGAGCAATGATAAAGAAGACGACAAGAAGAATCAGGAAGAAGAAGAACTGTCAAACTGGTTGGTGGAACTTGAGATCAGTGGTCAAAAATACTCAGCATTACTCTTCCCGTGAGTAAGGTACTCTTGACATGAGTAAACTGTACTCATAGACCATGAGTACACTCATACATGTTTTCGCAGGCAGTACTCAAATAAACGAGTGGACTCATAGCATTACTCATCCGGTCTGTGGACACATGTCCCCGTCGAATGAATTAGCCCTAAAAATGGATGGCGTGCCACTCCACGTGCATCACTGAGGCCTCGTCCATGATGCCTCGGCATCGACCTGATTTAAAATGTGATAAACTACTGGATAAATTAATGCGCTAGAGGTAGATTGATCAACACATGGAAAGAGCTTTGGACGCGGATCAATCGGCGGCTGCGAAAACAACGACGACATCCAGCCCATTACCAGCCATCTATGCCTGGCTCAGGCAGCCCAGCTTGCTCTTTTGCGATCGGAAGAGTCGCGCTGACTCTTGCCCAGAACACGCCGAGGTTATTATAGTGAAACTTCGTAAATTACTGGCCGCTTTGCTGCATAAATCCTTCACTGAGCTATTCAATCACGCCTGAAGAGAAACAAGCGCGAAAAGTTGCCCGACAAACACCTTTTTGATCCATTGGAAGTCAGTCACAAGGAGACAAGGAGCACCTCTTCGCTTGGGGCAGCAGTCGCTAAGAAACTCGCGCCTTCCATGAGGAAAGTACCTTTATTGCTAGAAGCTGGTAAAAAGTTCCACTAAGCATCAGACTCAATATGCGCACTGAGCGATATCAACATGTTGCCTCTACAACATTTTTCCCTCCATGAGAAATGCAACTTAGTTAATAATAGCTGGCAGAAAGGGCCGCTGAGCACCAGACTCAACTTGCTGAATGAGTGAAGGGATATGTTGTCTTAACATCATTAGCTTAGCGAACGCCCTCCAAGTATGCTTGACTTTGCGAAGTTCAAACACGACGCGGGTATCGAGGTGACAACCCATCACCTCAAGGTCCTGCTGTTTACAGTCGCGCTTGTCTCCATATGAGATCTTTATCAGCAATCGTATCGACTGCAAGGTACGTTGCCTTTCACTACGGAAAAGCGCTCAGCGATGGGCAGCCTCATCTTTTACGGGGGGATAAAGGCTGGAAGTGCGTCGGGGCGTAAGCTGGCACGGCTTTAAAGCAATTGAGATCACAAATGTCCACATGTTCTTAAAATATATGGATAATCTTTTTATTTTACAAGGAACTGGCAACATAAACAGCATCCTCTGGTCCATCAATTTGGCAAATGAAAGTGGGCCACGTCTTGCTCATCATGCAGTGCGGCGGGGATCGATCTTTCAACGGCTAGCTCTCATAATCCCGCTCGGTTATAGCGGCTCGTTGTCTTTTTTTGGGAATATTGATGTGTGTCCGAGGCTTATAGGAGTTAGATCTTGAACTCGCCTGTAGGGCTTTGCCACGGCGTAGTGCGCCATGAAGCAACCCATTTTATAGAATTGCATCATCGGTCTGAAGATGGGGCAACTAAGCTTCACAGAAAGGTACAAACGCTACTTCGTCTGCGATAGAGCTCTTCACGTTTGATTGGCTCATAAGTGCGGGGTCATGATATGGCTTAGGTGAGCTCCTCTGATTAAAATGTATATCCAGAGTATACCTATTTGCTTAATTTGCTTTGACCGCGAGTAGTCTTGGTAGTAAACCGCAATCATTCATGTGTTAGTTTCATTTTCTATCTCAAACTGTGTGTGTTTCTTCTGCCTTTAAGGCATTAGTCCGTTGCTTTCGATTATCCAGGCCCTTAGCAATAAGATTACGCACTCTACGCAGGACACTCAATCTCATTGAGATGAAATCACTGATTCTGCTACAAAAGTGTATCCGCAAATTGATATCGACCGATCACAAAGACCGGTCGCTTTTTCAAATTCCTTAAATGCTTACCATACCATTTACGTTAAACCAAGTATGACCTGTAGAGACATGTACTACGTTAATCTAAGCAAATTTCATACAGCACCAAGGTTTTTCGCACAAGTGCCTTGAAGGTGACCCTCAATAAGGATATTCACACACTACTGTGTATGATAAGTGCTTGATAAATTCAAGCTGGTGCCGTGTCACATAAATAATTGTTGCCAAGATGCTGCTGTAAAGTGCACATCTTTATCAGAAACAACGGCATCCAGTAAACCTTGCTTACAAACTGCTCTGTCAACGGACAGCATAGATGTTTGGTTACCAGTCACATTAGCGCGACATGAGCCATCTTATACAAAGACCACAATCCCGGTATTCCCATTAGCATCTTCGGAAAGTCCGAAAGAAACTATTTATTTATGGAGTACCAGCACTAGCCGCGATTTAGCAGTCTGGCCGTCCATGTCGCCGTATGCCGCCGTATGCCGCAAGGTCCCAACCCATCGACACGTTCCACACATGCGCACATACGTGCTACCCCACTTGTGCACGAGAAACTAGAGGTTACTCAGCAGTATTTTTTGTCTGGTCCAAGGTAACCATTTAATTTGGTATCTTTTGCAACGTACATTACTTTGTACTTTAAATTCTCATCATGAGGCGCCTAAATACGGCGAGCGTCATGTCAATAAGTGCTCAATACCGCATGCCTTTGCATAAGCCATAGCGTTTCAGGCGCGCACCTACGCGCTTCGATTAAGCGGCATTTATGTGTCCAGACACCTGGATACTACGGTTTTAGCAGCGCTACACGTGTTGCTTCTGATCCTCAATCTGTCGTATAGCCTTTTCAATTGACGACAGCACTGTTATAATATGCGACAATTTTGGTTGAAGCGATGTGAAATCACATCTGCCACTAATCAAGCCAACTCAACATATACCTTACCGCAAAGATATTATCGGCGATCTTGCTAATTTCTGTTAGATATGCAATGACGGTGTCGCTGTGCATAATACCGCATGATCTGCATGGATCACGCGGTTTTGAGTGCAAGAAGTTGCACTCTGATTCTGACAAGAGTATAAGTCATTTCAAGTATCGCCCACTCACTTTTTCTCAAATGATTTCAGCCGGCAAGACTTTGTCGTAATGATGTGGTTATTCCATTAGGTATCTGCAAAAAATACGGCATCTGGAGTGGCTCAGACGACGCGAAATCGCTGATGGTAGAGACAGAGAAGAGAAGAGGCTTTTTTTCACTGCATTGAAGACTACCTCCCCCGCTGAAAGTTAATACCATTCAACATTTGTTACAGAAAATTAGTGAGCGCTCGTACTATATTTTTAGGATTATTTGCATTATATACTTCCGTGAGTATTTGGCCAGCCAATTTCTTCCTTGAATTCTTTTGGATACACTGGTTAATCTACAATGGCTTCATCGTTTTCGTACTTTCCTGTAGGCCCTGAATCCCAGTGAAGCAATTCAGAAAGGAGATTTTGTCAGCGCCAAATACCACTTGTGTACAATGTCGAATTAAAGGGCCTAGATTCGAGTCATGCTTGCAAGCGTTCCATGCGATTCTTAATATTCGACTTCTCATGCTCTGCAAAACAATCGACCGATTTATTGTCAGAAAGCTTTGTGCTCAGCAAAGAAAAAGCCTAAATGATATTCGTCAGCTTCCTAGAACAGATGATCTGCCGAGAACATGGTTGAACGAGCTTTATTACTGCTCTCAACTAGGTTAAAGGTTTTTTAAGCCGGCGAGTACTTCGAGCGGAATGCTTTTGAAGTGGCTGGTTTTGACACAGCAATTATCTAATGCACCAATGGCGTTTGCGACAAATGTATGGCTGCATTTAGCTTATAACAACCCTTTAAAGATCATGTGATACTATATCACAGCTGCTGAGATTTACGTCTGAATGCGTAATAAGCTTGCCGAAATCGCCACTTAATTTTTGCCTTTCAGATACACTGAAGTCGACACCAAGTGAGAAAATTAATTACCTTTACCAACAATGCTTTGGAGTTTAAACAGAAGAAGGCGAAGATGAAGTCACATTGTTTCATTCATAAGATTATCGTCTTATGACGCAATATTTGTCTTTGAGTCTCATGACGCACTCCCTACTCATCGTTTATACGCATTCGGATCTCTTCGCAGCACGTCATGCTATTCATTCAACATCTAAAAGATTAATCTATGAAAAATTTAGGATGACAGTCCCACTCCCCGCACTCCTTGCTCGGTGAGTGTCTAAAAATTTAGCTTCTCTTCCGTTACCAGCTGTACTATTTCAATGAGTTAACGTTATGCAATGGTTTGCACACATCTCGTCCGGGGAGTTTTTCGTTTTGTTTAAGAACGTCTGCCGCGGATAGTGAAAGGAGACTTAAATCCTGTTTCAAGGTCTGCTGTACTCAGCACGGATTCACTTGACGCACAACGCGTTGTTTTACTCCATATATATGTCTGCTATTCCAGAAAGATATCATGGTAGAGCATATACATATGGCATATTGAAGGCATTGTACAAATGCCGCGATACGATTGAATTATAAATACACATAAGCGTGTGTGCATGCACAGAATTGTCGAAGAGTGAAGCCAGAAGTGCCGTTAGCTAGAATGCCAGCTTTAATGCTTCGTAGTGTTCATTTGTATGGATAACATTCAGAACGCTTCCAGTAACTCGTTGACGGTGATGTTGTTTTTACCAATTCGTTTGCCAACTCGGCTTACCTTTGACATTTAAACTCGAATGAAGATCCGCGTTTGCAGCCAGTATCTGCAGATCTTTGTTGCGCAATGTATCCAGAGAGAGCCATCCAGATCCGAATAATCATACGAGCTGTTAATCGCGTAGTGAGGTATTTCTGCCGACTCGCACGCGCGAAGCCACCACGTTGCTGGAGCGACATGCACTTTCAGAGATGTTCTAACAGATTCCCGCGTCATGTTGACGCTTTGACGATGTCGATTCTAGTCTTCTTGCTTCAACCGCCTTTGAAGCAATTATAGTATCCCAAAGAAAATTCAGCGTCACGGGACAAATTCGTGATACTTCGGCTGGAGCTAAGACATAAAAAAAATGTAGGTGCTTAAAGCAGGAGTAGCATTCAACGTAGGCGATGCGCTTTATTGAAGCAAACATACGTTTATACGCACTCGCTGCAGATCTAAATGGGATATCGAAGCCATACGATTAAGGCCAAGATGTGCTCAGTCGCACTCTTGACCTGAACGAGTGCGAAAACATATAATGTTCGATGTGGGTTTACTAAATGATTAGCCACCCGAATGCGGAGCGCACTGTTGTAGACGGATCAATTTGAGTATGATACATGTGGCTGAGCTATCTTATGCGCTAAAGAAGCTACTCCACCACCCCATGACATTCCTCAAGCTAGTCCATCCAGTTGTGCACGTCTTAAAAAGCGTTCGTCAGACTATCGACGTTATCGACGGACACATGTGTTGGCATTGAAGGCCTAGAGAGCATACCTAGCGAGAGCCATCACCATTTGATGCGCGGCATAACTTACTTTCATGTGAAAGGCTTGTCAGTCGGCGTACTCTCCACGGTATCTCATCCACACATTGAGAACTTTTGAAAGATTGGCATTTATCCTGATGCACTTCTGCCATCATTTTCTTGAGTGAATGGCAAAGTCTTACTGCGCAACGCGCTCGCAACCAAAGAGTTGGACTCGACCTTGTATCATTTGGCTGGTGAATGTATTAGCAGTCTCATGGTTATGAGCTTGGCTTGTACAGCATAACTCGTAAGATATCGATCGGCATATAATTTACCAGATGGTATTTTCTCCTTTGCCAATTGATATTTCCAGAAGACACAATTTAAAACCGCTCCGATCTCTATTCAAAGTCATTTGGTCTATTGTGTGAGGGTATTACACGACAGTTCACATTTTCATGGGCGAATTCGTTAATTTTATCACTCAGAGCCATCAGCGATTGAAATTGTTGAGCATGTAGTGATCCTTCAACTGCAAAGTCAGTAAGCAAATTGTGAGTATTCTCGACTTCGTTTCGACAAAGTGCCAAAGCGTTAGTACTTCCATGGGTAGCAATTGAATCGCAGGGGAAAACACTGGCAAACCCGCCGGCAAAACACTCCAAATGTTTGAAGCGGCTCGCTGTCGATGCCCATGCTTCTTTAAATGGAGTGTCCGCATTGCATCTCGCTAATGCTGCTTGAAGCGCTGTCTCGGATTTAGCTTCTTGACGCAAATTTTGAAACTCTTCTTTTAGTCGAGTAATGCCTTTCTCTCTGAAAAAGGTGCGCGTTGTGGAGCCAAACGTCTCCAAAAGAGACGTCAAGTCACGCTCACTCAGCTGTGCAAATTCATGCGGCAAAGTCGGTGGCATCAAATCTGTTACTGTCAAAGTTCGAGGTCCGCATTCTGTCAATTTTTGGCTTTGCTCATTTTTCACGGCACGACTAAGCTCCAGTAACGACTCGATCATGTTGACACCACAAAGTGCCAGATTTTCCGCGGCGAGGTCAACAATTGGGGCATCGGCAGTGTTGAGGATCCGAATTGAGTGTTCATCGTTTTCTCTGATAAACGCAACTATGTTTCGCGTGCTCAATGCAAAGACTTCGTTCCTTGACTTGAACATATTATGATTCATCGGGGACAATAGTGGATCGTGTAAAGGACCCAGGGCATGGAATGCGGTGGCACATTCGTTTGAAAATGCTGCAATATCTCTACTTTGCTCAGCGAGAGTTGTACGATTTCGTAACAATCTCTCGAATGTCTTGTTTGCACGAGTCGCCACCCAATTTACTACTGCGAAAAATAGCCACCACGAGCAATCCGGCGCACTTGGGGGATTTTTGGCTTCAAGGTGTTGAGTCAGTAATGCACGATGTGTAGCGATCCATTCAACTTCATTTCCGAGCGCAATCCACTTACTTTTAGAAGTCAAAGAGCTTCTACTTGCGCTCCACGATGGAGGGGGTGGGCTTATTTTCTCAAGTAGTTCTGGCTGTCGGCGGATGTATGCGGACAATTCCTTCAGTACCATTAAAAAACAACCGCCCTGAAGAGATGAGTAGAAGTTAAACACAATACAGTCTAATTGATGACATGCGCTCGAAGTGCTAAAGACAACTGAAGCTGACGCTTCCTGTTGCAATCGCGCAGCAATAGCGAGAACCCGAGCTGGCAATTGGGCGTCGCCGTCCGTTGCAATGCCGATAAGTCGCTGTTTCCAGTTTGGCAGTATGACATTGAGCACCTGTTCTAGTGTTTCAAACATCATTGATTCGCATGCGTTTTCAAAAGATGGGATAGTAACAAGGTGAATATTGTACAAGGCACCGCCAGTGTAAATCTTCACGCGGAACTCTAGATACGATCGAATTGGGGCGTGGTCCATGCACGCTCGAAGCACTAATGAGAACGCCCAGCATCCATGCAGCAGCTTTGAGATAGCATTGAAGCTGGCTGCAATAATCAGACGAACGTAAGCCGCCGTCTGGTCTTCACTGTAGTCTAGACATACTTCAGTGCAAGAGACACACTCGAGAGATATCACGTCGCGAAAGAAAACTGGAGCGTGAAATCGAAACGAGCGCATCATACTAGAAATCTGTCGACACGACAATCCAGCCGCAGCGAGTTTCACCAAGCAGTCAATTTGTGAGCGCGAGTGGACCACGACACGGTACATTAAACCTCCTTCCGTCCCCACCAAATTACAGGACTGAAACGTATCTCTAGGAGGACACCACAGAAGTACGTTGTACACAATTTCAGAACTTTGAGTCTCAAACTCATGAGTCGTACTCGGCTCAGCGTGTCCTGTAGCCAACACGGCCACTAACTCCACAATCGCCGGTAAAATATCAAAACGCCTTTGCATGTCGTTGCTTGAGGGTTTAGAAATCCACTCTTCGTTTGATCCCACTTCAATTTGATCATCCAGTAGTCCAATCCCATGAAAATCCTCGCTAACTCCGGAACAAGATGAGAAAAAGGTTTCTTTTTCATCATCCGAGCAAGCTTGATATCGTCTCCATGTCTCACAGTGCGATAGTTCGTGGTGTTGTTGATACTGATCTGTTCGAAACGAATATCGAAAGTATTTCACACTCTTTTTCGAACGTCTTTGCTTCTCTGGCCGTTCTTCACGTCCAAAAAACTGACAGAAACGGCACACGACTAACGTCACTTGGCCCGTAATTTTGTCGCGAGCTACAGGTGTCAACCCAAACTTACGTTCGTGGGACTTAAGGAATCGCAGGAAACGCTTACGATTTTGTGGTTTTTGCGATGAGTCACTATCAGGATCGACAATCTCTAGACAACGTTTCTTACCAACAGCAACTTGGGAAGACATCAATTTTATTTATCAATCTGAGAGATATCGCTGTCAGGGTTTATGTATTGTATTGTAAAATTAATACATTTCCTGTTTTGCTTATGTATCAAAATGCGTTATAATATGATTTAAAGACTTTTAAGCATTCGTCACACTCGTAGGTGTTGACCAAGCCATAGCAAAGTGTGTGTCGTTCTTCTTAGAGTTCGACCGATGGATCGACATGTGCTTGTTTAGAATATTGATACCAATTCATGTTTACTTGGTGTAACTTTGCATCGCTAACAAACCTCAATAAAACTTTATCAACACTTGTGTGATTCTTAAGTGGTCAGCGATAAACTCAAGCAAAATTGATATATAACATTAAGAAAAGCAGTATTGATGACCTCGAAGTAGTTTAAAACTTGTACCACGTAATCCGTTCTGTGTAATTTCAAAATAGATATGTGTAATGAGAGACTAAGATGCTGAAGAGACATTTATATTGTGAGGTTATCGAAATGGTGAAACAAAGCGTGAGTTATAAAGGTGGCGGCTGTAAGCCACCACTCCTTCGTATTTACGTGCTGTATATTATCTGACTAGTCGCTACATTTTGCAATATAAAAGGTGATTGTGTGGTGTGGTACGTTACGTGGGAAAGATGGTCAGTTAAAATTAACTAAATATTTAGTCGAAATAGGTTTGTGCCGCCTTGGTTTAAACGTTGTGTCAACCGACGATTGAACGTCGCCGGTGCATTTTACGGCTCCACTGTTATAATCACCCACTCCCAGAGTATCGGCTCGAAGTGCTCACCTCAGTAAAACGAAAATTATTGTCTCTCATAATCACTCGATAAACTATTTACTACGTCGAGACACCGAACATACTGCAGTCACCTATTCTGTTCATATTTTCTAAAGAATCAGCGTTTGCGCCGGAAGCATGCCTTTTTTCGACAGCATACCGGCATTTACCGTACAGATAGCCACTTGCCATTAGCGTTCTGGCACTGCAGC